CGCCCCTGCCCCAGAATAGCCATAAACATGGATCTTAAGACATCAGAAACATTTGACAATACTTATTTCAAAAACTTTCAACAAGGTAGAGGTTTGTTTGTCTCAGATCAAGTACTATGTAAACAAAAAATAACAAAGGTCCTATCACAATGGAGACACTTTAAATTCTCAATAAATGTACACGTACAACTACAATGAATAAGATCAATTGTTCAAATCTAATAAGTAGCACATAGCATTAACTTTGACTTATTCAATATATCGTTATATCAAGATAATCACTCAAATCATAAAAAGCCATGTTGCCTTTTATACAATCGAGATTGATGCACATCACATTCTAACAATTGTAGCTCAAATGTAAGATTGCACAAAGCCCTCCCCAGGTGCAATTAACAAAAATAGTACACATACGTCTTTATTTTGCTACATTTCAATTGCACCTAAGTCCATCAATCTTTGCTCATTATAACACTTATATCCCTACCTTTTTTTCGTCAAATTCTTATCTTCAACATTTTATTAATTATTACTTCTTGTCCATTTTTGTCAAAATATCTGTTTACATGCTTTAAAATGAGGAAAAAATATTTTATCACATTTTTATATTTACTATGTTCATTAGAATATGGGCAAGTAAGTCATTTTACTCCTTACAACGAACTTTTCGGAAGAAAATCGTTGTTGAAGACGAGTGCACTATTAATGAAAGGTTAAGTAAGAACACTTTGTGCTTGTCTGCCCCAGATTTTAGCCAGAATTTTAATTGGTTTTAATACTGTTATTTGACAGCATGTGGGTCCATTTGTGAGAGAAAAAGTCAACAATGTCTACTGCCTGAGATTGCAACGATCCAATTTGCAATTAAAATTTGCCGAAAAATCTCAACCAGACATGTTTAAATAAAAGTTAAAACAGAAGACTATAATTATCAAAGATTTAAAACCTTAAACACAATTGAGATGTGTGTAACTAATAAAAATACTTTCGTGTGAGTGAATTGTCATAATGTGAATATTCATATTAACGCCATATATTTTAATAAATGCACCACATTTTTATCCATAACTTTTTCATTACATTTCATTATTGAGCAAATTTTGTCTTTGATAATGATTTTCATTAAAAAAAATAAAAATTGTTAGCATGCCCTCTAAACGGGGACAATTGGGCAAGTATTTAATCACAATTAGTATTTACTGATTTTATTTTTACATATTAAAAAATTATGAGGTGCAAATGAGTCTTTTTACTCCCTCTCAACTAAAATTTTGAACATAGACCACCATTAGGGAGATGATGCACTTTCAATGAAAGATTGAAGATAAAAATGCGAAGATTTTTCTTCAAAAATTTCGAATTTGCATTTGTTTTATAGTATCCCCAAACTACCCCTGCTAGAGTTTCCTGTTTTCCAAACTAAAGAACCCAACCGGCTCCCCCCTATTCGCAAACCAAAACCCTAATCAAAAGCCTCGAAAACCCTAATTTCACTCCCGAGATTCAACTTGAGCAAAATTACAGCTTTCAGCAATGAAGAAGAGACCCCGAGAGCCCAAACCCTTAGTCTCCACGCTCGTCTCCTGCACTGGCCCATCGCTAATCAAACACTTAGCCTCGTGCAATTCTACCGTTAGATCCCAATCCCTGAAGCTCCTTCAATCATGGCTGACTTCCCAAAAGCAAGAAATCCCCGAAGAGGATATTAAGAAGCTATGGAAAGGACTTTTTTACTGTTTCTGGCACTCCGACAAAGCTCCGAATCAGTTGGCGCTTGTTAATAGACTTACGTCCCTGTTTTTGACCCTCGAATTCCCTGTTTCGCTGCAGTATTTTAGTAAATTTGTTTTGACTCTTCGGCGAGAGTGGCCTGGGATTGACCGCTTGAGGTTGGACAAGTTTTACTTGCTTATACGTAGGTTTGTGAGGACTTTGTTTGAATTGATGAAACTTAAGCAATGGGATTTGGAATTGCTGGGGAAATATATGGGTGTTTTGGAGAATGATGGGTTTATGGCAGACGATAAGTTGCAGGGGAATGGAGTGAATTATCATATTGTATCGGTTTTCTTGGAGGAGTTGAAAGAGGTGAGGTTTCCTGTGAGGAAGGAGGTGGTTGATGTGATCTTTGGTCCCTTTTTTGTGGCTTTGATGAAGAGTAAGGACAGGATTCTGGTGGGGAAAGTGACAAGTTGTGTGTTTGATGAGTTGCTGAAGATGGGCAAGGAATTGCTGGCGAAGAAAAAAACAGGCGTGGACTGTGACAAGAAAGATGGGGATGCGTCGCTAGCGGTGGTTGCCTTGAAGATGTGTTTTTCGGGGAGGTTTTATGAGGTCGGTTCGTCAGAGGAGTGTTTTCAGGGGAACAGGAAGGTGGTTTTTGGGTTGCACGAGGAGTTTCTGAAGTTGGAGAAGGATCTGGAGTCATGTGGGGTTGAAATAGAAGTTCGTGAATTCAATGAGGCTTCTGGTGGTATTGGTTATGATGATGAGGTTCCTCACTTGATCGCTATTGATTATAATACCAGTAATGGTGTGTGTGCATCGGGGGCATCTGAAGAAGCTGAGGATGTGCATGATGACAAGAATGAGTCTGATGACGAAAGCTTAAAGAAGAGTAAGAGGGCAAGAAAAGCAACAGTTAAAAGCCATAAGAAGTTAGAAGAGTCAGATATAAGTGATAAGAAGTCTAAGAGGAGGAAGAAGAAGGATAAGGAACAAAATCTGGTTTCTGAAAATGGATCTATTGTCGAGGAAAATGGCAATGTGGTTACTGCGAATGGTATGGAAAATGGAGATCTGATGACTGCTGATGGAAAGGGGTTGGATGATGAATTGGAGAGTGATGGAACTGATTTAACTTTGAATGAGTCTGTGATATCAAATCTTCAGAAGCAGTTTGAGAAGGTGGCTGCTGAAATTAGGTCACATATAGATGATGATACAGATTCATGTGATACACCAATAGTTACAGTGAAGAATAAAATATCGAAAAAGAAAAGGAAGGTTGCTAAGACCGACACTGACAACCCCGACATGAGTGGTCAAGTAGATGACAGAACCGATAATGCTGCAAAGAGTGTGGAGAAGAGTGCAAAGAAGGTTAGGTTTGCAATGAAAAATAACTTGGTCTGGAAGCCACACAGTCCATTGCCTCCTGAAAGTTTGAGATTACCACCCTCTGTTACTCCTAGAGGTAGTGCCCTGAAGAAGGGGGTGCCTCCAGGTCCCATAAGGGAGATGCCTCCTGCAAAGAAAAAGAAGAAGCAAAAGACAGGGCGGCAGATGTTGAAGAGTGCATCACCTGGCAAGAAACAAAAGAAAAAGATACAAACTGGGTCCATTTGATGGCAATTAAGGTTAGAGGCTCTTTTTCTTGTGGACTAATTTACTTGATTGTTGATTTAATTCTTCTTCTGACCGGGGACTCTTTTAAGGCTTTCATGCTTTGCCTTGAGAGTTTGTCTTGAATTCGTATTCTAAAGCTCCTTCACTTGAAATTATACAATATTTGTTTTAGTTTTTAATGCTTTAGCTCATATATTAATTTTCAGGAATTCTTTTGCTGCTATAATTTTGTCATTTCTTTGTGGTTCTCAATTGGAATATTTCGAATGATTAGTAACTAATCACATCTAATGTGATGTTACACCAACAACCAGATTCTTCTGTTGATGCTACAGTTGAAATATTTTGTCCTGTGAAGATAGAACATTTTCACATTAGGACATTTGCACCACAGAGTGCACAAATTCACGAAGACTTTGATACCTAATACGTCTTAGTTTCCCATTTTATTATGTTCTCAAACTCTTTGTTACTAATTCTTTGAAGTTGGCCAATATTGATATGAATGCATTCTTTTATTATTCTTTTTCTTTCTCGTTTTTGAAGCATGTCAAGTTCGTGATTTCAAAATGCTTTCAGTGATATTTGTAAGTTATAAAATCTAAAGCATGCTATGCACACGATTTGGCATCATATAATGTTTCAACTGGTACTTATCAAATTTATAAAGATTTTCTATATCTAAAAGCTTAGCTGTACGAAAGTAGTTGTGATGGAAGTCAATATGGATGCACAAATCTTTTCTGTAATTCCTGAAGGTGTTGTGTTGCGTAAGGTCTTTCTTATGTTCATATGGTCAAGAAGTAAAGTTGAAGGTATAAACTGTACTATTAATGCTATGACTCTTAACAAATGTTTTCGGCTCATTGCTCTGTTCAGAATTAATAGGTTTTCACTTTAGATGTTCACTCCCAAAATGATGTCCTTCTTAGAGTAGATTTTGTGGCGACCAAACTGCTGTTAACTAAACACTTGAATAGAGTTTCTGGAACTTTTTCTTTTTCTTGGACAGAAGATTAATCAGACCTTTAAATTGTGCACCTTCCCAATTGTTGTTAGCTTGCTTTCTAATAAACAATTCTGAAGCTGGAGATTGCTTGAGACCACATTGACTCAAATTTGGGAAAAGTGACTACTCTCTGCTTCATAAATCATAGCCATGTGCGATGATCATTTTTAATTTAGCTGAATCAGCTGATATATGTGGTCCATGAATTGGCTATGATCCCTTTTTAAAAAAACGTTGCAGCTTTTAAACTTTGTTAAATATCTCTGCTTCTCTGAATTTATTTGATGCCAGCTTATTGAGTTGCTATGATCATTGTTATTGGTGGAACAAAATGCATAGGATGCCCCCAAAAAAATTAAAACAGACATCATCTGTCCAGCCTTGGGAGAATATGGATGACAATATTCTAAACTATATAAAAAGGGAGATAATGAAATATTAGCTTCATAGCTTAGGCCTGTAATTGACGCATAAAAAGAATTCTAGTGTATGATAAAATTTGATGTTCTTTATTTTGCGTCACATTAGGGGGTGCAAATCCTAAGATATGCTACTGTATGAGGGATGCAAGAATCATTCATTTAATCATTACATTGATTTTTCTTTTGGAAGCAAAAAAAATTGAGTTTTTTAGTTCCTTTGCCAGCCAAAGTGTAAACCATTACTTTTAAGTGAACACATGTTTGGATTGGCTATTTATATGAGAATCGTCTCTACCATAATTTTCCTTTTGCTTCCTAAGCATCACCTGTTAGATAATCATATTCTTCTTTATCTTAAATCAGTTTTGTTCCTGTTTCCTTTTTTTTTTTTTAATTTGCCTGTTTTCTCTTCTATTAACTCAGCAACTACAACAATTTTTTGTCTCTGTTTTAAACAGCTGATTGGAATTACTCGCTTCGGTAGGAGTCATGAATAAATATATTTCTATGGTGAAATACACCTATGGTACGAAGTCCAGACATAAAATGAGTTGTCTGACATAAAATGAGTTGTCTGGAGGCTGGTTTATTAAATCGTCTCAGACTTTTTCCGCTGTGTAAAGTAGTACAAGGGAGATAATGACCTCTCCTAAAACTAATTAGATGCTAGAGGAGTGACATTTCACCCTCCAATTATCTTAGGAAACTAATTAAATAGTTAAAGAAAAGGGCTTTCCTAGGAATGAGGAATCTGCAAGGAGAAGGAAGGAGAGTATTGAATGAGAACTTTTTGAGTCAAATTCTTTTAGACTAACTTTGCTTTATGGTGTTGTGCAATTAAAGGACAAAATGTCGATAAGATGAATGTAGTGGAAATGAAGATATTAACATAGACGTGTGGCATTACTATAATAGATAAAATAACAGCAAGAATATACACTTAACAGGAAGTGACATCAATTGAGGATAAAGGAAGAACTATTAGGTAGTTGAGGGATTTGACTTTATTGAATCTTTCGTTGGATGTAGCAATAGGTTGAATGGAGTGTTGAAATACTATTCAGAATTGAAAATTTCTTTGATTCGGTGGCGGTGTTTATTTTTCACTAGGAAAAACATTTGGATGTATTCTTATGTCTAAGTAGTAAGGCAAGTTAGCCTGCCTTCAAAATGTGAAATGCTTATTTAAGTCTATTCTTCTTATTTTCTGCAGGACTAGATCGCAGCCTAGGAAAATCAAATTTCTTTGTTGAATCTATTTATTTTCAAATACGACAAACGAACTTAATAGTCTTCTGGATGTTTTGTGTTTTTTCTTTTTTTCAGTTCAGATGATAAGTTGAAGATTAGGTAACTGGTGGATATCAGATAGAACACTGCGTGCTGAAATAGATTTCACGCTATTCTTGTCTGTCCTGGGAGGTTTCAAGTTAACATTCTAATGTTGTTCTGCACGACTGTAACCGAGCTTTATGTACCAATCAGAGAAGAAAGGTGACAAACTGACCATTTCGATTGAGGAAACGAGATTTTAAATAGTTCTTTATAAGTTAGTTCCCCCCCAAAAGAATTATTGTCAAATACATTTTTACGATACTTATTTTTTGTGATTTTTGAGCATTTTATTTGTTGTGCTTGGAAGAACAGTTGTATTTTGTACTTTATTCATCTCAGTAAGCTTTATTTCTGTTGTGGCTAATATATTTAAATTAATGTTTAATGAGTTAGTACCCTTAAATCAAATTATTGACCCTAGAAATGTAACAAGTTACTAATATAGAAAATGCAAATAATTTTGAAAATCCTACACAAGTACCTCTTTCTAGAAATGTAGAATGATGAACTATTAAGGGGATGTTATCTTTGTGTTTCAATTTTCTGTTTTGAGTTTTGAATTTATTTTGGGTTTTGTTTTCATTTTGAAATTATTGAAAATGTGTTCTTTTTGACATTTTGAGAATTTTGTTTTGAAAACACCCAAGTTTTTGGTTTTTTTTGTAAATTTTTAAGAAAATAGGAAAAAGAATGCGTTTTCACTGTTTTGAAAAATCGAAAACAGAAAATGACTTGAAAATGATAAAGAGAACATGCACTAACATTTCAGTTAATTTGAAATATTTCTAAAGAAAAAGTATTTGTGATGTGAGGTTGATGTCCACCCTCTTGTGAACAACCATCCATTTCCGTAAATGCTGTGTTTGACCCAACTATTGGAGGTGTGGTTGATCCATCTCTTGTAGAGGTGATCGATCGGCCACCTCGTCGGTCGACAGTCTTCGGTCGGATTCACGAAAAAGGAAGAACTAAACTTCCCAACACGTGACAAAGGGTCAAATGAACCGAAAAATATTTCCTTTATCCTGATAGGGTAAAAATTAAACAGAAAATATTTCCTTCATTCTGAAAACAGAAAACCTGACCGTGACAGATTTATTTTTGCACTTTCTAAGACAATTTTTTGGGTCGGCATATCGCACGCCTGATGTTTAAATATTAAGAACATAAAAAAAGATTGAAGACAAGAAAAATTGGACACCTTAGAGAAATGTATCCAAATCTTTGTTTTAGATAAGGTTTGACAAATTCCTTTTTTTTTTTTATAACCGTGGATGTCCGGTCCAACTTGCGCATATCTCGACTAATTCCACGAGTGCCCTGAAGTTTACGGTCGGGTACTCACCTCAGTGGCCCTGAGGGGACTCGAACTGATGACTATTAGGGAGTAAATCCAAAGCCTGACCAATTGAGCATCCCCTCAAGGTTAAGGTTTGACAGATTCTGAAGATAAAAAATTACGAATTCCATAAAATAAGTGATTAAAATTAAAGTTTGTCAAATTGAAAAGTTTAAAAAATAAAAATAAAAAAATTTTGATTCTTCAATGTGGGATAAGAGAGAGAAGGTAGCACGAGAATTTTTTATTTTTATTTTTATTTTTTCTATTTTCTATTTTTATTTTTAGGTCAACTGTATACCTTGATAAATCACATCGGCAATAAAGGGGAGGCCAAAACAAAAAGGAAACAAGGCAATAACAAAAGGAGATTCATCAAGTACACAGTAATAGCTGTTAGTCTTGGTGAAATGATTGCTAGTTCTGGTCTTATCCATGCAAAAAGTAAAAAGAGATTTGAATTCTCTTTTTGACCAATCCACCATCGAATTCCCTTTTTCATTTTAATGGGGGCTCATTCCATGCCAAATATTGGCGTCTGCAATGCTGATAGATTCGATTTTGCAGACTGGAATGATTGCAGAGATGGTGAAATCCAATTGCCCACAGTAGTAGATACAGATCCATCATAAGCAGCAGCAGCAGCAGTATTACTACTGTTGCTATTTAGAGCAATTCCTTGCTGATGCTGACAGTAATTTCCATTGAAGAATCCTACATCATTCTTGTTCTTGCTGGCTTCATTCACAGATATATTTGTTGGGAAATTCATGCTGAAAGGTAAACAACTGTTGGAGGGTTGAAAAACGGCAGGATTAGACCAGGAATTTGCAGAGTCTTGCTTTATGGGCAACAATCCAAAGCTGAGGGTCGATGCTGTGGGAGGATGGGATGTTAATGTGTTCGACGAAATCTCTGACTGAGTTCCGTCGAAACTTTTGCTCTCGGATAAAGATTCCGATGATGTTTTAGGCTTGTTGTTCAAGCCTCCTATGGGAAGATTGCTGCACGCGATGCTCTTTATGTCGTAGCGGCTCATGTCAAAATTTGTCACTGCGTTTAGACCTCGGAATTTGATCGCTGCAATGTCGTAAGCCTCGGCTGCTTCTTCTTGAGTGCCTGCACAACAAATAAATTACATTTACGAATTACTATAGATATCCCTAGTTCAATTTAAATCCACGGATTTCATACAATTACAACTTGAGCAATGTTCATTTTCCGACAACTTCACTAGGAAGATGCAAGTAATTTAGGCTCTAAACTGAACTTGCTCACTACCAAGCCTTTATCTCATCTCATCTAACTTAAACGTAAACTGGACATACCGAGTTATTTGAATTGTCTTCAACACATTCCTAACAGACCAATAGAATCGAACCATGTTCCTACATGACTTGGTCAATTCGATCGGACAATCGTCATCTATTTTCATTGTTCAAATCTTTGACAACACAAAAAATTATTGTTCAACTTTTTGACAACATGAAAAACCCAAAAGAATCTACTACATTTACATAACAATTTATATAATAATTTACCAATAAATGATGTGTCAAGATTTAATTGAATCAAAATCTCATCAATCAAATAATTTTCTCATTTAAGATACGTAAATAGTTACGTACAAAAAGTATTTTTCAAATTCAAAAACCCTCTCTCTGTCCATCCAAGGGATGAAAGGATAGAAGCCAATCAAGAATAGGGGCCTACAAGTTCTTCAAAATAAATCACTTTAAGAGAAACCCTTTTTTATATAATATTTATGACATATTCTTCGACCCCACAGTGTAATAAAACAAATCTTAAATAACCTTTCTTCTGGATCTCGTCCTACCCTTCTCCCTATCTTGCAATCAAACGAGTTAAATTCTCAATTATGTACCACCGTTTCTTAGCCCACAGATAAATAGCCACGTAATGTTTTTATTAAATGTTGGCAGAGCCCTGAAAATATCTTAATTCATCCACCGCCATGGCTGCCCAATAATATTTCAGTATCCTAGGAATACGTGCATCCATTGTTTGGTTGTACATTATCTACATTATGAATTGAATAAGGAATTTACATAGGAAAATAACTCACTAAAGGTTCCGAGGTATAAATCTTTGTTGCCCGCAACCCTTCCTATTCTTGCTTGCCACCTCCCATGCTGATGATGCCTAGAAAAAAAACGAAATAAAGGGTGTATCGGCTAAGTTCACGAGTCGGGTAAATGAACCCCAAAAACTTACATTGCAAGTAAACTAGAAAGATGAAACAAATCGAATTATAGAGCTACAATACAATCGAACCCGAGCATCAAAATGTAGAATTAAATTGTACCACGAAACAAATTACCTTGTGACTCCTCGGTAAATGGATGCCCCTCTCGAAAACCCACTGCTTTTCCTGTAATAAGATATATGAGCTAATGTTAATGAAATCGAGTACTCGGTTCCCAAAAATAACCTTAAATTTAGCTAAATGGCACTCATAATTTTCATAGGAGGACTTAAGTAATTGAACCAACTCGTCTAGAAATTTTTTAAGAAATCTGACCTTCTAAGAGAAGCAACAAATTCTTGCCTCGTCATGTTCTTCATTTCCACCATTTCCTTCTCATAATCGGACACCTACAACAAATTAAACATGATAATTAATCAGATTAAAAGAAGAAAACAGACCCCAAAAAAAGAAAAAAAGAGTGCAAATTGAATGTAAATGAATATTACTGGAAAGTTAGTAGTGGTGGTGAGACCCCAGTACTTGATGGCTGCAAGATCATAAGCTCTAGCTGCTTTCTCTTCTTTATCATATCCTCCTAAAAATAATTAATTATTTAAAATTAATAATAAGTACAGACAGAATCAGTATCCAAGGAGAATCTAATGGCCTCAGAACTTTAGATTCGATCATTTCTTGAATGGAAAAAGAGAATTTATAAGTACTCACCCAAATAAACTAAAAATGATTATTTGAATCGTCCATGGCATAATGATTTGACAGTACATGGAACAAACAGCAACAGCAGCATCATCAGAAACACATCAAAATCTTTCTCTATTTGAAATAAAAATAATAAAATCTTATTCTCGATTGATGCTCGTGTTGATCAAGTTAAGGATTTATGTCGCGTGTTGGTACAATACTAATCGATTATCTGGACTTTGGACCAGTTACGATGCTGAAGACATTCTTGAAAATATGGATGATGATGAAATCCCAAAACCCTAGAAAATACAAACCTTGTCTTCCTTTCCGACTTTGCCCTTCTCTTCTGCAACTATTATCCCATAAATGAGCTTCATATCTCCCAGTCCATCTATGCCTGTAATACAAATATGATAAAATATATACCATATAAGAAACCCTAGTTAGGTTTATTCTATATTTATTCTTTAGCCTAGTTTTTGTGCATGAAATTTATTACCTAGTGACTCCTCTAAAAATGGAGGTGCGTTGGCCGAAGTTCTCCACGGGCTTCTTGGCCGGAGGTACCGTCGGAGCAACTACAGTCAGCTGCTGCTGGTTGCCGGATGGTTCGCCGGAAAACCCACGTAGGAAGCTAGCAGCTATTGTTTTAAGCTCTGAGTCATATATCTCTGAATCAGCCACAAGCACCTGAGTTCCACCGTTGAACTGGGCAGCTCCACCGCTCCCCGAACCACCCAAAAAATC